TGTTTCTTAAATTAACTTTCGACGCCAATGTTAAAGCAGCATTATGTATCCACATTATATAACAGGAGACATTGCTCATTTGATTTGCAGGTTGTGTAGGCAGCTTCAATGAATTGTTTGGAAACTTGCAAGTCGGCTTTAGATCATACTATTCTGCAACGCAGCAATGCAATTGGACAATTGGAAATGCAGGGATTAGCCAAGCTGTTGCCTTTGTGTTATTACGGGAACTGTATCTGTCTTATTCCAAGTTAGTGCACTATTTTTAAAGATTGTCACTTAAAAGTTAAAGCAAAACAAAGTCTGGTCGTAAGGTGGGCTTACCATGAATCCATATGATATATTTTTCTAACTCGCATGTTTGTACTTCGCAAGAAGTAAAGAAGTAAAGCAGGTCTGGTAAACGAATGTATCTCGAAATACTGCAGCGAGGCCTCGTTTTTAGGTCGTTGGTTTTAGTGACCTTTATGGAACCTATGTTAGCGGCCATATTGGATTTCTGACGAAACTTTATAATCGATAATCAATTCTAAACTGATATTTAAACCAGGGATTCTGACAGGTCGAACAATTGAAAAAAAAAAACAAAAAAAAAACATGCATTTTCACTCAAAAATGGCTTGACCAGCTGCTACTTATGACGTCATATCTCTTAACCATAGTAATGTCGCATTGAACAGAACAGAAACGTGATTGCATAGTCCATGTTAATTATATACACAGTTCGCGGATTTATAGCCTGCGAGCAGGCTGACTTGTGCCAGTTCGGAGAAAAACAGTCTCCCAAACTCGAGCAATTGAGCCGGCTCGCAGGCTAGCCGATTTACTAATCCAAATTGGACACTTGAGTTATTTATTGAAGTATCAGTCTTTGTTTGTTTCGTTTCTTTTTCACAGTGAGTACATCAAGGTAATTGATGGTTACGGTATCACCGTTCTACATGTAACTCGCCATGGATACTCGTTCACTCAAAAAATTTTCAGGGAAGTTTCTTTTGGAAATGTTGGCAGCATCACTGTCCAAATCAACTTAAGAAGCAGCTTTAGTATCTTCAAGTTACAATTTGGAATTTTAAAACAAGGACCAGGTTGGCCTTTTATCTATTAAATTCATTTAATGTTGCCTCAAACCGGGGAAACTTCGCTCCCCATCGCTTTTTCCCTCCCCTCTCCCCATAAATAACAGCCGGTCTTAAAGTTCGGTGTTACAAGACTGTTATATAAGTCACAGGTCTTTTTTTCATAATTTGTCCTTTCCTGTTTGTTTTTAGCACCTTCGCCTGCTAACTGGAGTGTTTCCATTGACAACACTGCTCTCAGAAGCATCAGATTCTCCTGGCAAAACCTGCAAACAGTTGTTGGTCAACAAATTAGTTATTACTTAATTGTGGTCAAAGATTCTTCTGGTAGCAGTGTAGACAGTTACATCGTCCCAGGAAATACTACTTCCCATTTGTTCTCTGGATTGAAAGAAAATAGGAAATATTGGTTATCTGCTGTCGGTGTAAATTACAGTGGCAATGGTTACAACAGCATAGAAATTTCAACATGGACAGACGAAGGGGGTACGTACATGCAAATGTTCTTTTATTTATTTATTTTTTGTTCCCAGTACTAACGAATGTTTAGCACTGTAAACTCCGTACTAGCTACTATTACATTTTTATATTGCAGTCATATTTAAGGTTATTCCCTTGTTTCGCACTGCGCACCCTCTACTGCGCATAACATTGCGACATCCAAAATGGCTGCGATTCTTCCTGCTAGCGCGAAAAGAACAAACAAGGGGCGCTTTTGCAGAACTACAGCCTTTATTGGCAATAATAATGCCGCAGATCGGCTGACAGCTTCCTGGTGTGCTATCAAAAAACAAGAAAATGGAAAAAAAAAAAGTGTGCGTGATCCCGAAGTCTTCAGTGGCTTTTCACTTCGCGGCCGTCGAGTTGTGGAATTAAATGTCCTGGCTGATGCTTTGGACGGGGGCTGTGAAGCCTGTAGTACAGCTCTACGGCTCTCCAACTGCATTAACGAGACAGTGACTGGCCTTGATTGCTACTTTACATATGTTGTTCAAACTCCGAGTGTGAAGAGACGAATATTTGTTGAAGAAATATTGAGACCCACCGTAGCACCGGAACCACGCGAGGGAGACCAATCTTTAACGTAAACACGACGTTTGCTGCTAAATGTTGCTGTGTATACAAACCAAACAAGAGAATATATGAAGAATAGGAATCAATAGTCTTTTCTTCAAGTTTTTTTTTTGTCAGGCATTATTGCGCAAAAGCAAAAAATCGAACCCTAGCTCACTGAAACACTGAACACCCGCGCTACAAAATGGTTCGAAATATAAATTCATAACTTCAAAATCTCATCAATTCTTAACTTACCTCATTCCTTGGTATTTGTTGGACTCTTTCCCTGTATGAATTTCTGTTTTGGCGATATCAAACACATAAAAACAACCGAAAACAGGCTTGATCTCGAGTGCCTACTTCGAACGGGATGGGCGCTATTTTGTACCTCGTTCAGTCCCCGCCGCGCAAATCTTCATCCTGACTGGGATCTCAGAACCGTGTTTACCTGTCACGGCATTTTATTTATTTATTTATTTATTTTTTGTCTTGTTTTGAGTGTTTTTTTTTTTTCAGGTATTTTCTAAGAACAGTCTAATAAAAACCATATTTGAAGAAGAAAAACGTTTGATAGTAGAACATGATTTTTTTTGGAAAATAGTTCTGTATTGGTTTATTAGGGCCGGGCCAAGGCAAGGACGTCAAGCTAACCACGGAACAGTCCAAAAAAGTGCAATATCTCCTCAGCCAGGCAATCAAAAACGGCTTAAATGAAGCAATGCTGCTTATTTGAATAAAAAAAGCTTTATTTTTTGGGAAAAAATTGTGTGTTTCAAGTAACAAAGACTAAATTCTGTATGAAGGTGATTCGAATTTTTAGCGCGCGACCAGTAAAAATACCCTACTTTATCAAGCACGGTGACCCCAACTTTTTATTGCATTTTTCTAATGTTCATATCGTGAATGTTGATTATGCCAAGTTTCAAAAAAGTTTGATAGTAGAACAGTTTCAAGGGAATTACCTTAAAATTTAGCTGTGTCATTTTGGACTTAAGGGCATACAATTAGTGTGAGTTACTTCGCTCAATTTTGCATGGGCAACATTCTCCCCTTTTTCCGATAATATTTCGACAAATAAGATACGATTTTCAAGTTAGAGCGTACAATTTTGATTTTTAATAACCTTTGTTTTTATCAGTTCCCAGCATAGCTCCATCATATATCCGACTTTTAAACTTACATTTGGCTGAAGTGAAAGTACAGTGGAATCCACTCACTCAGGAGGACACTAGTGGGCATCTCCTGGGACACAGAGTCTACTATATGGAATACAACCATCAACATTACCCATATTATGTAAAGAGTGTTAACACTAGCAGTGCTAATGTTACTATGGTGATATTGAGGGACCTGAGACAGCTCACAGCTTACCAAATAGCCGTAGCAGCCTTTACTTCAAAAGGCGAAGGACCACGCTCGTCCTGGTCTTTGTTAACAACAGGTAATGCATTTGTTTGTAGCCGATACTAACTGATACAAATCAAATATGTTTCATTGAAGGGAACCTCCACTAGCGTTCACCCTCTATTAAGCCTTTATCTACCAAAGTCCCGGAAGAAATTTCAATGAATTACTGTAAATCTGACCTGACCAGTATCAAGTGGTCACCTCTATAGACCGTTGGCGCTCACCTTTTC